TCTCGAAACTTAACTTAACAAGATAAGCTAAACAAGAAATTAAAAGTAAGATTAATAACTTAATTCAATCAAAACCAACCAACGGGTGTTACCGCCACAGTCACCACCCACGGTGACTGCACAGGCTAAAAGGAAATAACTAACTCAAGTCAAACTTCGTTAGCAACCTTAAAACCTGGGGGTACAACCCCGGTGTCCAGCACCAACAAAAGATCAAACTAAGTTTCCAACAGTCAAACAACTAACATCAAGTTCAACAACTGTAACTAAACATCACAAGTCTAAAGTAGAGTCTATCTAGAATCTACCAACTCAAAGTCTACGCACTAAAACTACTCGTGCGCGCTCAAACACAAGGCCCACCTAAAAGGGGTTACAAAAACAAGTAGAAAATAAACCCGTTAGCAAAATAATGCTAAGTATAAAACCACTCAACCCTGTAAAGTACTATAGAATATAGATTTTGAAAATCATTTGTCAAACACACATAAGATCAAACACTTTCAACACTTAAACAAAAATCTCAACAAACTCAATATCAATTCTATATGCTTGCAACCTATACATCATATAATCATGCTTTCTCAAGCACTCAACTAAATCACATAACTCATGCTTCAATTATAGATAAAGAGATACTAAACAACTCAACAACAATCTCATGCTTTCATGCTAAACAACAATCAATCTCAAAGCTATCATACCAACACAACAATCAATGACAAGTTATACATATCAACATACTCTAAATGCAACACATGCAAGTCATGAAAAAAATAGTCATGCTGCTGTAAGTGTGTGTGTGTGTATATATATATATATATATATATATATATATATATATATATATATATATATATATATATATATATATATATATATATATATACTCTCGCTCTAAAAAAAGGTATACTTTTTCTGTGGAGGTTTATGTTGAGTCACACAGACTCGCTTTTCTCTTCTTTCACTTTGAGTCTCTTGACTTCCTGTTCTCTTCTTTCTTTCTTTCTTACTTGCTTTCTCAAACATTCTCAAACTTTCACAAACTTTCTCAAACTTTCACATGATTCTCATTTCTCTTCTTGGGCGAGGCAGGTACTCCGCCGCAACGAAGCCCTATCGAACGGTGCAATCTCGTGCAGCCGCCACATCTGTATCAACGGAACCTCTAACTTGTGGGGAGGTAGGTGTTCACAAATCCTGAATGGACCTAACTGGCTCGGCAATCTAGCCGGCCACATAACCAACTCGCCCACAGAACCACGCCCTGGGTTCTTAAGTCTTTCTCTGTGGAATCAGGTATCGTACTTTAGTGTGTGCACCCCCTTACTAGGATTCCAAGTCTAGCGGGCAGTCTCCAACCTAGTAACGCGGGAATATCGACCTTGTTACTTCTAAAATATCTCATTCGGTTCACAATGTCCGATTCATTTCTCAAACTTTCTTTCTTTCTCTTTTCTCCCGAAAGGACATAGTTCTAACGGTCCTCCAAAATACTATCTTCCTCACAATAGATAATATATAGACATATCTCAAGCCACAAACTATACTTATGCAAACTCATGCACAAATGTTCTCAATCAACTTCTCTTTCTCACAACTTTGGAAATCAAATATCATGCAACTTCTCAATGCAAATAGATAATGATTTTCCAAAATAGATATAGGTTTTTGAAATAGAACTTAGGTTTACTTAGAGCCAATAATGCACTTTAACCATGAAATGCACAAATCATACTCTTTACTGTGAAACATACACAATTTCTCATTCACTGTAATTTTATGAAAACATGCACTGTTGATGCAAAATTTCTCAAAACTTGGCAAAACTTCTCAATAAATACTAACATGTATTTAGGCATGTTTCTCAATCAAATAACAATGCTCAAAAGCCAAAACCACATTTACTGGAATTCAGCTCTCAGACAACAACATCAACAACATTAACAGAGAACTCAATAGTCACAAATTCAACTATAAATCATGCTTTATAACTCCAAAATCAAAGAAATGAACTTCTACTAGTGCGTCGTAATGAGCCCACCGAGATGATATGATGAGTTTCCTCTGGTATTATGAGGAATCCCGATTGGACTATGTCACTTCAGCAGAAATGATGAGATTGATATGAGTTTCCTCCGGTATTATGAGGAATCACGATTGGACTATGCTCCTTCGGCAGTTATGATAAGATCGATATTATGATTCATGGAAAGTATGAAAGCAGCTCTGTTACTATATATATATATATATATATATATATATATATATATATATATATATATATATATATATATATATAAGGTTCAAGTGCGGCGATGTCCTTAGGTGCGGCGTCACCAATAGTTCAACAAATATACACCATCAACGTTAGGAAATGCACCACAAAAATACACACAAATTAGACACGCATCACCGAAAACACACCATTAGGTGTGAGTAAAAACACCATACAGTATCTAAAAATACACCATTGGGGTGTGGTGAGTTATATGATGTATTTTTTTTTTGGTCTGTTGTGTATTTTTTGATTTTTTTTTTTTTTGCATTTCATTGTGATATGTTTCCCTTACACTGTTGATGTATTCTGAAATTCTACCGCACCGCCGCACCTAAGGACATCGCCGCATTTGAAGTTTTTCCTATATATATATATATATATATATATATATATATATATATATATATATATATATATATATATATATATATATATATATATATATATATATATATATATATATTGTTTTTCTTGAGAGAGTGCATAATTATAACTCCATGACACATTATTTCCAATGATATGCATATTATGATATCTCATCTTCTTTTATGATTTGATTGTCCACATGATTACATGTCTCTTTATCTATTCTTGAATTGCATAAGTACTTGATTATGGATTAATGATTTGATTGTCCACATGATTACATGTCTCTTTATCTATTCTTGAATTGCATAAGTACTTGATTATGGATTTCACTTGCATGTGAGCTATATACTTATTAGATACGTATATCTATATGTACCGGTACCGACCGATGATTGCTGAGAGCCCTTTCTTCCATTTTGAGCAGGTTGATGCTAGTTCCTGAGAGGGGGATACCCATACAAACTACGCCTACAACGAGGCTCGAAACCTAAACCTCCCACATAGGGGAGCAATCTGATACCAGTGGACCACAAGCCACTTGGTAGGTTGATGTTGTTGTTAATTACTCTTTCCGTGTAGTTACTATGAGGAGGGTGACTACGGAGTAGCATCCCCTTTTTGGTTGTATGTTTGGGTAAATAGTCTTTTAACTCTTTCCTTATTCCGCAATCCTACCCTTTAAGGGTGATTAATACTAGGCTCAGGTGTATGAAAATTGAGGGTGTTACACAGGGAGTAGAGGACTCGGGTTCGTTACTAGCGGAAACATCATCGGAGAAAGACCGTACTAATGTTTATCTTGTCCTTGTTACCAGTCAAGATTCAACCTGTTCGTCATATCCGAAATAAGATTTAGGATTATTGGTCAAATAATGGTACTAGGTTGTACTAATGCTCGGTTGTTTGTTGGATTAAGTTTTCCTTGTGAAGAATTTGTGCATTAATTCCAGCTTTCTTGAAATCCAAACGCAGAAATCATTCATATAAACTAACAGATGAACTAAACATCAGATTTGTAGCCTTCTTCTTGGGGAGATCGTTGATGACCAATTTGCAATCGGAGAAGACCATATTAAACAATGTAACCTGGAAGAAGAACGAAGAAGTAGGAAGAACCTAGAATGACCGTTTTTTCCCGAATTAAACAAATTAAAATGGATTAAAAGATTCCTGCGACAATTGACCGGCAATTTGGTTGGATAGATCAAATCTGTTAAAAATTGCATAGTTAAGGTACTAAATTGTTAGTATGTATTTGGGGTATAACTTGAGAAAAAAATGTACTCCATCTGTCCCATTTTATCTGTCTTACTTAGTAGAGTAGTTATGCTGTGCAACCGTGTGCTCCATGCATGGTGCACACGGTTGCAAAAACGACGTCGTTTTGACGTCCAACTTGAAACAAAAAAAATTAGTTTCGATTGCTGTTAACGGCGTTATGTTGTGCCTAATTTGAACTATACATCCATAACTTCATAACTATACATTCAGAATTGCATAACTACACATCCATAACTTCATAACTATACATTCAGAATTGCATAACTACACATTCATAACTTCATAACTATACATTTAGAATTGCATAACTACACATCCATAACTTCATAACTATACATTCAGAATTGCATGTATAATTACACATTTATAATTTCATAACTTCATAACTATACATTTAGAATGCATAACTACACATCCATAACTTCATAACTATACATTCAGAATGTGAAATTATAACTTCATAACTATATATTCAGAATTGCATGCATAACTACACATCCATAACTTCATAACTATATATCCAGAATTGCATAACTACACATCTATAACTTCATAACTATACATTCATTATGTGAAATTATAAAATAGGAACATATGTTTACGTAACTAAAGATAATCGAAAATGATTTTTTTTTTACCTATTCATCCGTGTGCACCATAATTTACCTATTCATGGGTCAAACAACTCTTTCTTCTTTATTTATTCTCTTTTATATTGTTTTTTTACTGGCTCTATTACATTGTAGTATCTGTTCATATACTTTCTCAACCTACTGAGAAACACAAAGAACCGAGAAACACAAAGAACCAATAATGCCTCTACTGAGGCTCAAACTCATAATCTTTCAAATGAAAGTCCAACCCGGATACCATTAAACCACATAGTCCTGATTATTATCAAATATATAAATTTTATATTCAAATACTAAACTTAATATTATAAAAAATTAAATTAAAAATAACTTCATTAAGTCCCGTTACTCAAACCAAACCAGGAGGGAGGGAGTAATTTTTTATAATAATAATAATAATAATAATAATAATAATAATAATAAAAGATCCGCCAGTGTAGCAGTACTAGCAGACGTGTCATGGTAAAAGAAAACAGAGACGACATTTACAAACTGCAACTACCGCCTCTCTCTCTCCTCCTCAGTCATCCCCTTCTGTCGGTTTGATCTGAATGATTCTACCACCGGGAAACGCAGGAACCTATGTTTCTCTTCTCACCTCTCTCGTTCGCAGTTTTTTCTTTTCTGCAACTGTGTCTTGCTATCTCTCTTCAGGTTCTTTGAATTTTTAGGTGAAACAGGGTAGAGTGGATACGGGTATTATTCATTTCAGATCGATTTCGTTCACCTTTTGGAGCTATCAAAATTTTTACAAACATGCAGAGATTGAATTGTATGCATTAATTCTAAGTTGCTGAAGCTTTCCAAATTTGGTTTGGAAATTTGTGCGGCTGATATTGACTGTGGTTTTGGGTTCTAAGCTCGGCCCCACTCGAGAGAAATTCCAGTGGCTGGCTGCCAGCTATGTATGCAGTAAAAACCAAATAGTTATACGCATACATACAAATATACATACGTGTATATAACATACACGCACACATACATACAATGCATGTGCGTGTAGCCCACTGCGTTGTTTTAACTTGTTTTCCAATTTTGGGTTTGGAGTTTATGGTAAAAGTAGCAGCTTTCTCTGAGACTGTTGGGTAGGTTGTTGGAAATAATTACAAATTCAATTTGAATTGGTTAAAGTAATTGGCCTGCTGGTCCCTGAATTGGATTATTGGATTTTCTTCTCTACAAGCTAAGCTATATTTTGAGGGATAATCAGAATCAGCTTTCCAGCCTTGAAAGAAAATAGCTTCTGGGAATCTGGGATGGAGATTGATGAAGACGAAAATGAAACTAAGGGAGGGATGTGGGTTTTGGACCAGAAGCTTGATCAGCCTATGGATGAAGAGGCTGGAAGAATAAGAAACATGTATAGAGAAAAGGTAAACTTTGCCTTTCTGTTTATATTTAAAGATTATATATCTTGGAGCTTTTATGGTTAGCCCCTTTTGAGGATTTATTATTTGCTCACTAAAATTGAAGTAGTTATTGACAAGAGAAGACTGATTGTTTCTTTATTTGGTGATTTTGTTTTAGAAATTTTCAACTATGTTGCTATTGCGGCTTGCATTTCAGAGCCTGGGAGTAGTGTATGGAGACCTGGGGACATCTCCCTTATATGTGTTTTACAATACATTTCCTCGAGGAATTAAAGATACCGAGGATGTTATTGGTGCACTTTCGTTGATTATATACTCACTAACCCTTGTACCATTGCTCAAGTATGTTTTCGTAGTGTGTAGGGCGAATGACAATGGCCAAGGTAACCTCCGAATACTAGAAGCGTTTAGTAATTTCGGTTGATGCAAAAGGGCAAATGAAATGATAGTGGGGGTTACGTTGTTGTTGTTCGTTATTCCTCAGGTGGAACGTTTGCTCTTTATTCCTTACTATGTCGACATGCTAAGATAAAAACAATTCCCAACCAACATCGGACGGATGAGGATCTAACGACTTATAGCCGTAACACATTCCAAGAGCATTCATTTGCTGCAAAAACGAAGAGATGGCTGGAGGCTTATGCGTTCAGAAAGAATGCACTGCTTATTCTTGTCCTTGTTGGTACTTGCATGCTAATTGGCGATGGAATTCTTACTCCTGCAATATCAGGTATATATTCGATACTCCCACTTGGAGGTTATTGCCACTCCACTAGGTTTGATAAATTCGGTTGGTTCAATATGATATTGAAATATCAGTGATATTCACCGTGTATTTCTTTCTTTAGTATTATGGTGCATTGTTCTTCACTTTTGTTGTTTTGTGTCAAAAGTGTTAAATGGAGTATTTTTACTTAGTTCTTTCAGCTTCTGGTGGGATCAAGGTTGACCATCCAAAGATGAGCAATGGTACTACTCCGATCCATTCACTCACAAAAGTGACATTTCATTTATGTGTTACATATATAATGTTTAATTGACCTTGTTCCTTCCATTCCCACAGACGTAGTTGTGCTTGTTGCTGTGTTTATATTAGTTGGTCTGTTTAGCATGCAACATTACGGTACAGACAAGGTTGGTTGGATGTTTGCTCCAGTTGTACTGCTCTGGTTTCTTATTATAGGAGGTATTGGCGTTTTCAACATCTGGAAATATGATACCTCGGTTCTCAAGGCCTTTTCCCCTCTATACATATATCGCTATTTGAGAAGGGGGCGTAAAGAGGCTTGGATATCACTTGGAGGGATCATGCTCAGTATCACAGGTTCGTTTTTCATTCTCTCATTCTCACACCCCCACTTTCGATTCTTGAGTTTTTGTATCTCACAATTGCTCACTCGCTCAATCACTATTAACAGGGACAGAAGCACTTTTTGCAGACCTTGCTCATTTTCCCGTCTCTGCAGTTCAGCTTGCTTTCACAGTTATTGTATTCCCCTGCCTTCTTTTGGCCTACATTGGACAAGCAGCCTACCTCATGCAACATAAACATCATGTTGCAGAAGCATTCTATCGTTCTATACCAGGTTCTACTAATATTTCATTTTACTTCAAATTTTTTATGATACCTCTGACAAGAAAATTCATGCATGCTTATTCCGTCTCACAAATTTTCCTGGCCATGAGGTGTCCTGAGCAGACCTAACTGTAGGAGGCACCTTTAAGCCCGTACCGTACGTCCGTACTCAAACTAATCCCCTTTCGCACCGGGCCGGCCCAATTAAAGGGCAAAGTGCTGGCCAGATTGGTTTTTCCATACAAGAGGGGTTCGAACTCTCGACCTCTCTTAAGGGATGAGAGTGCATGGCCACTCATGCCAACCAAGCTGGTTAATGAAGTGTTTTATTGTCACATAGAATCAGAGAATTGCAATCACTAAAGTTTGGGTTTTTTTTTTTTTTTTTTTTTCAAATCTATTTTGTTCATGTAAAGCTAGGGCCTTACCTAGTGAAAAAAAAAAAGAAGAGAGAAAAGGTGAATGAGTGAAAGAGAGAATGGGATGTCAGCAATGTGCCTGCCATGCCATTACTCAGAGTTCACTCTTCTGGAAACTTTTAGCGTAGATTGCAGGATTTATAGATCTCATATATCTGCCTGCGTGCATTAGAAATGTGCTATAACGGAAATAGTGAAAGCCCTTTCCTGATCCTAACTGTGAAGAAGTTCGAAGTTATCACATTTCTAATGAAATGTATTTTTACGCAGAGAGCATATATTGGCCGGTTTTTGTGATTGCTACTTTAGCTGCTATTGTGGCCAGTCAAGCCACCATATCTGCTACTTTTTCAATAATCAAGCAAGCATTAGCGTTAGGCTGTTTTCCAAGGGTGAAGGTTGTGCATACGTCAAAGAAGTTCCTTGGACAAATATATATTCCAGATATCAATTGGATCCTTATGATACTCTGCATTTCTGTGACAGCTGGTTTCAAAAATCAAAGCCAAATTGGCAATGCCTATGGTGAGTTCACTAAATACTCTAAGCTTTTTCATATCTTCTCTTTTCACATATTGGAGAAGCATGCTAGGAGTTAAATTTAATGTGTGAATTCTACCTTCTGTCAAATGGGGTTTGGTGCCCTTTCCCCCATTAGAAAAAAAATGTGTCTTTTTAGCCCTGTTTGGTAAATGGTTGTTAGCTCTTAGCTGATTGGGAGTTAATTAGAGAATATAACTAGTTGATAACATTAGCTGATTGTAGAAAAATGTTTGGTAAATTAGCTGTTAGCTGATAGCTGTTTGGTATAATTTCTTTTCCCAGAAAGCTAATTGAAAAAATTGCTTTGAGCAGCTTTTTGAATTATTAATTTTTTAATCCAGTCAAATAATTAATAGTGGTCAAATAAGTCAAAATTAGCTGATAGGTTAACTATTCTACCAAACAGGACTATATTCTATATTCGTGAAAACCTAATTTCTCCCCCTTATTATACAAAATTGTCTCCAAAAATCCGAAGTTGTGAGTTTAAAAAATAAAACGGAGTTGAAACCAACTTTAGTATTACATCTAAAGAAAGCCCAGTTACAAATATAATCCCTTTTTCCAATTATTATTCCATGGATCATGGCCAACACATTTATGTGGCGCAAATTATGCCATGAAATCGTGTTCACCGAGAATGGTGAACACAAGGCAAAACGACGTCGTTTTTAGGCAAAAAAAAAAAAAAAATTCGCGAATGTGGAGTTAACGGCGCGCGTTTGATCAAATTATGAATTTTCTGTTATTAGATTATGAATTTTATGAAAATTCATAATCTCATAACAGAAAATTTATAATCGCATAACAGAAAATTCATAATCTCACAACTGAAAATTCATAATCTCATAACAGAAAATTCATAATCTTATAACAGAAAATTCATAATCTCATGGTTCCAAAGTGAATGTGTAGGCATGGTTCCAAAGTGAATGTGCAGGCATGGATTCATAATTTATGAATGTCCGTGATTTCGGACGGGAATGTGTAGGCATGGTTTCAAAGTGAATGTGCAGGCATGAATTCATAATTTATGAATGTTCGAAATCTTTGTTCACCTCAAATTAAAGTGAAACCGCAAAATGTGAAAATAAAGAAGAAAAGTCACGCAATTAATTAAGAAAAAAAAAAAAAAAAAAAAAAAGATAACGGTGTACTAACACCGTTGGAACCGTGTTCACCATTCATGGTGAACACGGTTCCATGGCATAACGTCCCTTTATGTGGACCATAAATAAAATGTACATTTTTAATATAATAAAGATATATTATTTGAGTACTGAAGATATATTATTTTGTATATTATCAAACAATGTACATTTAGTAAACAAATAATGTACATTTAATATATTTTAAAAAATACATTTTATTCATGGTCCACAAAAAAATTTGTCCATTTTTCCTTCTTTGGTATAATTTTCACTAATTCTTTTGGGCTCTTATCAGAATACTGAGTACTACGGAGTAGTATTTTATATGCGTGATGCGTAAAAATATATGTCCAATATTAATACTCAATGTTAAAATCTTATTATATTAATTTTTTTTAATAATAGTGTGTGTGTGTGTGTGTGTGTGTGTTTATATATATAATTGTAGAATTTATATTAATATTATTGAAGTAAGAATTATGGAAATGATAAGTTACTAAATATAACTATGGTAACATTTAATTAAAATATAAATGAATTCAAATTTACCATTGAAGAATGTAAGAAAAAATATTGTGTATGCATGTGCATGATAATAATAATGTGAATAGATAACAGAATTTATTTCGGTATGGACATTTTTGTCCAAAAAATTATGTTGTACAACTTTTATAGCATAAAGTACAAAAAAAATTAACAGAAAAAACGGACATAAACTACAGGGATATTTTGAAACTTATTATGTTTTTAGATTAGATATTTGTCAAATTTATAAATCCAAATCTTTAAAAAAGGAATTTTAAGCAACTTCTTTGCTAAAATTAAAATCTGTGAACTCTTTATTTGCAGTAAAAGCACCAATCATTATTCCATGGACTATGGTTCACACATTGTGTGAACCATAAATAAAAAGTACATTATTTGTATACATAAAGTACATTATTTGAAAATACATAGTTTTTTTTTATATATTATTAAATAATGTATATTTAGTACACAAATAATGTACTTTTAGTATATTAAAAATGTATATTGCATTCATGGTCCACACAATAATTTGCCGTAAAAGCACATGGTTTTTATTTTTATTGTAGTTGCATTTGAATTTTTTATATAATAATATAAATATTTTTTATTTATTATTGTACTTGCTGCATTGCCCCCGATGGCCTAAATTTTGGGATTCGTAGATCAACCTTAAATATGTGAGTGACTCATTGCTTGAGATTTTGACATATTTGCTTTGGCTTTGATGAATATTAGGAAACCTTAGTCCTATTTCTAGGAGTGAACTTAGTTTCATATTCTTAGTAGGAGCGGGTTTAGCGTAATGTCCCTATAAATATAGGATCTCTATGCAATTCAATAAATAAATGCACATGGATACTATTTATTGTAATCTTTCATTATAATATATTACTTCTATTTTTCTTTTCTTCGGTTTTTCACATATTTTGCTTCCGCCTTGTGAAAGAATAAAGGGATTTATCATATTGTCTCAATAGAACTATACGGAGATCTACTATTTATACAAGTATTAACCTAATGAGCCTATTCCTACAAGGAAGGCCTAGAGTTGACCGGTCGATTTAACGTATTAACCTAATCTCTAAGTTATTACCTTATCGTATTAACCGGATCGGAAGGCATCTCTAAGCTACTTTCTCGAGACATCAACTTCGCAAAGTCTCAAGAAAGTGGGGGACTGGATGATGGATGGTATACTAAGAGGTTGACTGGTCAGACTGCCCCTAAGGCAGTTGGTCAGATCGGTAACCCCAAATCCCGACCACGTGGATATCGAGCCCAAGAAGTAACTGGGCCGAGAGAGCCCAAGGATACCTAATACGAAGTAACTTAGGAGTTCAGTAGAATTGGGTCTATTCGTATTTAATAAGATTGGACTTCTTATTCCTAATATATAATATAATAAAGACTCCTAATATGAGACAGTCTAGGAGTAACACTCCTCCTCAAGCTAAAGAGTATAAATCATATGCTCCAAACTTGTTACAAATATACCCAACTCTAGGAGCTCTAAGGGACTTAGTTAGGATATCATCTAACTAATCTGCAGAATTGACAAAATTGGTTGTAATACACCCTGGCAATCAACATCGATGTGTTTGGTCTCATGATAAACTGGATTTGAGGCGATGTGTAGTGTTGCTTGGTCGTCACATATCAGTGTCATTTGAGCAACATCGCCACATTTCAACTCTTGGAGTAAGTGCTTCAACCACATGAGTTCACACGTGGCAAGGGTTATAGCCCGATATTTAGCTTAAGCACTAGACCTAACAACCACATCTTGCTTCTTACTCTTCCAAGATATAAGGTTACCACCAATAAACACATAGTAACCTAAAGTAGAGCTCCTGTCAAACAGACAACAATCCCAATCTGCATCAGAATACCCAACAACTTGAACATGTTCTCTACCTTCATATAGTAAATCTTGCCCTTGTGCTTGCCAGATATACCTTAGAACTCGAACAACAGCACCCAGTGAGTATCACAAAGGTTCTCAAGAAACTGACTTAATACACTAACTGCAAATGAGATATCTGATCGTGCGATTGTGAGGTAGTTCAATTTTCTAATTAATCTCCTGTAACGTTCCCAGTCAAGCAATGGCTCCTCCTGTCATAATAGAAGTTTAACATTCGGATCCATTGGATTATTCACAGGTCTACAATCCAACATACATGTTAGTTTTATGACTTTTGGGCAGTCAACTTCTCGCTCCTTATCGTTCATATAACTCCAAGTTCCTTGCTAACCACTTGATTCCTCGCCCACTACTTTTGTATATTGAATCAAAACGCCAAGTCTCTTTCCGACCGCTTCGCTCCTCGACCACTACCTCCATATACTGAATCAAAACACAAAGTTTCGTTTCGACCACTTAACTCATCGCCCACTACCTCCATATACTGAATCAAAACACCAAGTCTCCTTCTGACTGCTTCACTCCTCGCTCACTAACTGACTCCCAGTTTTTCACCATAATCCTAGTCCCACGCTGGCCACTTGATTCCTCGCCTGCTAACTTCTCGTTGATGCACTCCAGTGTTTTTCACCATTGACTCCTCGCTCGCTAACTTCTCGCTCCTTATCTTTCATCATAACTCCAAGTTCCTTGCTGACCACTTGATTCCTCCCCCACTACTTCTGTATATTGAATCAAAACGCCAAGTCTCTTTCCGACCTCTTCGCTCCTTGACCACTACCTCCATATACTAACAAAACGCAAAGTCTCCTTTCGACCACTTAACTCCTCGCCCACTACCTCCATATACTGAATCAATACGCCAAGTCTCCTTTCGACTGCTTCACTCCTTGCTCACTAACTTCTCGCGCACTGACTCCCAATTTTTCACCATAATCCTAGTCCTACGCTGGCCACTTAATTCCTCGCCCGCTAACTTCTCGCTGATGCAGTCCAATGTTTTTCACCATTGACTCCTCGCTCGCTAACTTCTCGCTCCTTATCTTTCATCATAACTCCAAGTTCCTTGCAGACCACTTGGTTCCTCGCCCACTACTTCTGTATATTGAATCAAAACGCCAAGTTTCTTTCCGACATTTTCGCTCCTCGACCACTACCTCCATATACTAAATCAAAACGCAAAGTCTCCTTTCGACCACTTAACTCCTTAACCACTACCTCCGTATACTGAATCAAAACGTCAAGTCTCCTTCCGACTACTTCACTCCTCGCCCACTAACTTCTCGCTGACTGACTCCCAGTTTTTCTCCATATTCCTAGTCCCACACTGACAACTTGATTCCTCGACCGCTAACTTCTCACTGACGCACTCCAGTGTTTTTCACCATTGATTCCTCGCTCGCTAACTTCTCGCTCCTTATCTTTCATCAAAACTTCAAGTTCCTTGCTGACCACTTGATTCCAAACCCACTACTTCTGTATATTGAATCAAAATGCCAAGTCTCTTTCCGACCTCTTCGCTCCTCGATCACTGCCTTCGTATTTTGACCAAGTCTTCTTCCGACACTTCCCTCCTCGCCCACTACCTTCGTATACTGAATCAAAACGTCAAGTCTCCTTCCGACTGCTTCACTCCTCGCCCATTAACTTCTCGCTGACTGGCTCCCTGTTTTTCACCATAACTCCAAGTCCCACGCTGACCACTTGATTCCCCAACTGCTAACTTCTCGTTGACATACTCCATGTTTTCACCATTGACTCCTCGCACACTGACTTCTTGCTCCTTATCTTTCACCATAACTCCAAGTTCCTCGTCGACCACTTGACTCCTCGCCCACTACATTCGTATATTGATTCCAAACGACAAGTTAGAGCAGGCGATGGAATCGTCACAAGAATCTGACCACCTTTGCTAGGAGTATGACCACCCTTTATAAGAGATCCGACAGCTATTTGTAAGAAATCCGACCAACGAGTGTGCCCCTAGGAGTTTCTACCGTTCTCACTGTGCGGATGACGACCAACGAGAGCACTGCTTGGTGGGATGGTTACTTCATGCATACTTGGTTACGATTGCTCTAATCGAAACAGTCGTGCGAGGACATCAGCCAGAGTAGGGATTTCAGAGTTTCTAAGAATCGTTGACCTAGCTGTGTCAAACTCAAAAGGGAGACCGGCCAAAAAACTCATAACAGCCAATTGTTCACGTTGCTTTTGCTGCTCTTTAATGTCAGCAATGAATGACATAAGCTTATTAAGTGCCTCGTATGTTTTCTTAAATTTCATAAAATATAATATGTAGTGAGAGACAAATTTTGTTTCTCCGCACGGTAAAAAGACATGCAAACATCATAAATACGAGTGATTTTTCCCTTCCAAGAGTACAAGTACTCCAAATAATCCATCAAATCCTTAACGGGGGCACAATGACTAATGGACCCAACAATACCATCATCAATAGAATTCTGGATTTGCAAAAATAGATGTGCATCATCTTGCACCCAAGAATTATCTTATTCAGACAAAGTTTTAGTTAGGTGTTCTTCTTTGCCCAAACTAGTGAGATAAAGCTTAATGACCTGAGTTCACTCCAAGTAATTGGAATCATTAAGTTTACAGTCTGTGATTTTGGAAGTTACAGGAACAATATCAGTTACGACAACAGATTTATTCTCAGCCATACTCACTAAAAACTTATCAAAAAGAAATCACAAAGCACACAAAAAAGGGAGCCTGAAGGGGCAACTTGACCGTAGAACATAAGCAATTAAAGCGGCAATGGTCCAAACCAAGTCCATATCCAAGGCTACTGGAGTCGGGCGACCTTGGAGCTGACGACTGGGAACTTTTTCGGTCACCGGAGACGCCGCAGGCGCCGACGCGTGAGACCCACGCACTGGGCAACGATCGACGGATGCCGACGAGCCTTCTTAGGTGGGAAGTGACGATAGCGGAGCGAAAAAAAATCCTTTGTCATAAAAACCGTAGATACCATGTTCAAAAGTTTAGAAAAATACCTCTATTATGGTAGCTCTCTGTCTCACATCTCTTTGAGTGATTACTCCACCCAATAAATACAAACTAGAGGACTTATGAGTTTCCATATTTCTACCTACTAAAATGCCTAATCTCCAGGCTTCCTAATATGTAGGAGTTCCATATTTGTATATTTCATAACAATACCAAAGCAGACACCCCTGTGGAACAAACCTTGGTGGTTGCTCTATATAAACGTCCTCTTGAAGATCGCCATGGAGAAAAGCGTTCTTGATATCCAACTGATGTAAGTCCCAATGATTTATAGCTACCAGGGATAAGAGCAATCGAACTGATGTAATTTTAGCTACAGGAGAAAATGTGTTGGTGTAATCCAAACCAAAAATTTGGAAGCTGTTAACAGAAGAACTTTGTATGTTTTTCATATATCTTAAACTAAGGAATATACATATTTATACAAGAAACTATATACTAACTAAGGTAAGGATCGAAACCTAATCACTAAGAATTGCTAATATCATGCTACATATATTCCTACCATTTGTAATGTCTAACATCCCCCTCAAGTTGGAGTATAGATATTAACCGTGTGTAACTTGACCCACGTATATTTGGTTGCGTATGCTTTGTTCGGGATGTCCGTCCCAATATCACAAAGTTAGATCCAAAGTCTTTGAAGTGTGCATTTCTTGGTTATTATCGTGTGCAAAAGGGGTACATGTGTTACTCTCCTGAGCTTAGTAGGTACCTTGTTTCAATTGATGTTACTTTTCATGAGGATGTTCATTTCTTTCTTTCATCTCCAGATGTTATTCGTCAGGGGAGAGGGGGATGACATCTTGATGTATACGGTCATGTCCTATGTTCCTACTCCCCCTGTCTTACAGGTGTAATACTCATCGCCCTCGGTTAAACGCACCCGTTCTTGCTCTGCCTCCTACTTCTCTTCCTGACTCGGTACCTAGAGATGACTACGGTTGCGGTTCGAACCTACGGTTCGAACCGGAACCGTGACTGTGAAAACCGGAACCGTCAGTACGGTTCTGGTTCCGGTTCTTAACCGGAACCTATAAGGTTCCGGTTCCAAACCGAAAAAATTAAATATTATAGTGTTATTTTTAATTTTTTTTTTAATAATTCCGGTTAGAACCGGAACCGGAACTGGCGGTTCCGAACCGGAACCGTGGTCACCCCTATCGGTACCAACTCAAAGACCTAAAACCACCTCTGTGTCGTTTGATCTAGTCTTGGATGATGACCGTCCGATTGCTCTTCGGAAAGGTAAATGCAGTTGTGCTTATCCTATATCCTCTTTTACGACATATGATCGGATGTCACCTGCCTCGTATTCTTTCATTACTTCCCTTGATTCTATTTCAATTCCTAGGGCTGTTAAGGAAGTCTTGTCCCATCCTGGGTGGCGAGATGCCATGATTGAAGAGGTGAATGCTTTGGATCGCGATGGTACTTGGGAGTTAGTCGCTATGTCTGCAAGTAAAAGGCCAATTGGTTGTAAATGTGTGTTTACCGCCAAGGTTAATTCTGATGGGTCTGTTACTCGATTGAAAGCCTGTCTTGTGGCTAAGGGATATGTCCAAATTATGGAGTTGATTATTCTGACACCTTTTCTCCTGTAGCTAAGCTTACTTTTGTCAGGTTACTCATTTCTATGGCTGCCATTCATGATTGACCTCTACATCAGCTTGATATCAAGAATGCTTTTTTGCATGATGATCTTCATGAAGAGGTGTATATGGAGCAACCTCCTAGGTTTGTTGTTCAGGTGGAGTCTGGGAAAGTATGCCGATTGTGGCGATTGTTGTATGGGCTGAAACAAAGTCCGCGTGCATGGTTTGGAAAATTTAGTCACTCTGTTGATAACTTTGGGATGGTGAAAGGTAAATCGGATCACTCCATGTTTTACAAGTGGTCCAAAACAGGCTTCATCTGGTTAATGGTCTACGTGGATGACATTGTCATTACAAGGAGTGACACCGAAGGGATTTCATCTCTTAAGTCATTTCTTCATAGTCAATTTCAAGCAAAAGATTTGGGACCACTGGAGTACTTTCTGGGTATTGAAGTTATGAGGAATAAAACAGGTATATTACTGTCTCAACGAAAATATGTACTTGACTTACTCTTTGAAACAGGAAAAGTAAGCACTAAACCATGCAATACTCCTATGATACCGAACATGCAATTGTCAAAGGAGGGGGAGCTGTTTGAAGATCCGGAGAGGTATAGGAGATTAGTTGGAAGTTAAACTACTTGACAGTAACCCGTCCAGATATTGCTTACCCAGTTAGTGTTTTGAGCCAGTACATGGCATCCCAACTGTTGGTCATTGGGCAGTTGTAGAACACATCTTGAGTTACTTGAAGGGAGCCCAAGGACATGGGATTTTGTATAAGAATCATGGTCACACTAAGATTGAGTGTTTTACTGATGCTGATTGGGCAAGATCCAAAGAGGATCGTAGATCAACAACTGGATATTGTGTTTTCTTTGGAAGTAATCTGGTTTCGTGGAAGAGTAAAAAGCAGAACGTGGTTTCTCGTTCGAGTGCAGAGTCTGAATATAAAGTGATGGCACAATCAATGTGTGAAGTGATGTGGATAAACAGTCTTTTGAATGAGTCTGGTTTCAAAGCTCTGATTCTTACAAAGTTATGGTGTGATAACCAAACTGCTCTTCATATTGCATCAAACCCAGTGTTTCATGAACGAACCAAGCACATAGGGATTGGCTGTTATTTTGTTCGTGAGAAGGTACAACAAGGGTTAATGATCTCCACTAAATTTGTGAAGACCGGAGAACAGCTCGGGGATCTATTCACAAAGGCCCTAACTGGACCCGAGTTAGTTATTGTGTAACAAGTTGGACATGATTAATATCTATGCTCCAACTTGAGAGGGAGTGTTATACAATTTGAATATATGGAATCCTACATATTAGGAAGCTTGGAGATTAGGGTTTTGAGTGGGGAGGTATGGGGAAGCTTGTTTCGATACCATATGCTCTCTAGCTTGTGTTTATAGGGTGGTGTATTCTCCCTAAGGAGTGTCTCTGTGAGACAGAGAGTTGCTCCAGAACTCAATGTATTTTCTCCTAAACCTTTGAACAAAATGTCGCAAACACACTGTCAACCAAAATTAATACAGAGAGATATTATCGCGACCTCCAATCCCAAAACTGAGCCTAGGAAAGTGCGGTGGATGAATGGGCGACCCTGGGAAAGGAAGTCGGAGTTGGTTCCGGCGACGGAGAAGGCCTCACATGCCGACGAGCAACGGTGGCGACGTGTGAGGGACACACTCTGGGCAAAAACACCTCGAACATGGTAGAATGGTTAATCGGTGATCGGCGACTCCACTTGGTGCAGGCGGTGACAACAAACTGCTGGCGAAACCCCCGATCCAAACTTCTGCCATGAGCGCAGAAGAGAAAGAAAGAAAGAAAAGAAAAATTCTAATCTTCAAACCTAGAGCTCTAATACCATGTTAACAGAAGAACTTTGTATGTTTTTCATATATCTTAAGACTATGGAATATACATACTTATACAAGAAACTATACACTAAGGTAAGGATCAAAACCCAATCACTAAGAATATGCACATTAATCCCTAATATCATGCTAAATATATTCCTACCATTTATAATGTCGAAGCCATGGAGAAAAGCATTCCCAATGGTTGTGCATAGTGTTGTGTGTTCCGAAGCCACCCAACATTGTTATCCTCTAGTTGCATTTAATCTCCATTTGTAATTTTGAGTTGGATGGAGTATTTGTTTTAGACCAAGCTTGAAACTTCTAGATGTTCTAGCTTGAGGGGCGTGTGGAATATTAAGAAACCTTGGTCCTATTCCTAGTAGGAGTGGACTTAGTTTCCTATTCTTAGTACAATTGTTATACCATGGACTAGGGTCCATCTTGTATTGTGGACCCTGGTCCAAAAATTATGTTTCTACAGTTGATATATTTTGTACATGCAGTTAACCGTTTGTGTCTGTAAATAAATCGAAGGCACATAAAATGTTAACTACAGATACATAGCATGGTAAGTACAAAGTGAGTACAAACACATAATATGTTGTTAAAATATTGTGTCTGTAGTTAACATGTTATGTAGGCACATAAAATGTTAACTGCAGGTACAAAATATGTCAATTGTAGATACATAATTTGAATGTTATTTTGGACCAAGGTCCTCAATGCAAGGTAGATTCTGGTCCATGGTATAATTTGCCTTTTTAGTAGGGGGGGCTTAGTTTCCTATTCTTAGTAGGAGTGGGTTTAGTTTCCTATTCTTAGTAGGAATGGGTTTAGCCTAATGTCCCTATAAATATAGGATCTCTATATAGTTCAATACACAAAAACACATAGGTACAAATTATTGCAATCATTCATTATAATCTATTCTCTGTTCCTTTTTTTTTTTTTTTTTGCTTTGTCACATATTTTGCTTCTGCGTAATTGGCAGGTGGTGGCTATTCACCACCTGCCACACCTTTCAATCCATCAATTTCAACAAGCTTTAATATCTTAGAGAGCTAATTGATGTCTGATATTTGATTAAATTCTTATGTTTGTATCAAAGTTTCATGAATCTCACTGTGAAGTAGCCAACATTTAGTAATGTTGCTGGTGGCTTATACACATTACACACACAAGCTTTTGACATTTATTTTGAAAAGGAAATTCTAATTGTGGTTCACTATGAGTGATGGCAGCATGTACTTCAATATATAGGATTGTACACTAACTGGTAGTGTATTAAATATTAATTCTTTAATTATTTGCCGTTTGCTAATGTAGGTACAACCTAGCTAGGGGTAAATTTTATGTTTTTAACTTGTAGTATGCAATTTGTTTTGGTGCTGGATGTTGAACATACCCTATCAATGGTAACACTAGTAAAACTTTAGTTTGGAAACTGATTTGACAGCCATATATCTTCAATTCCTTCATTCCACAACAGGGACAGCAGTTGTGATTGTGATGCTGGTCACCACACTTCTGATGATCTTGATAATGCTGCTTGTCTGGCACTGCCATTGGATTCTTGTTGTAATCTTCACGTGCTTATCTCTCGTGGTGGAGTGTACATACTTCTCTGCCACACTTTTTAAGGTTGATCAGGGCGGTTGGGTACCACTTGTGATTGCTGCTGCTTTTCTTGTCATCATGTATGTGTGGCACTATGGCACAGTGAAGCGCTATGAATTCGAGATGCACAGCAAGGTATCAATGGCATGGATTGTCGGGCTTGGCCCGAGCTTAGGTCTAGTTCGCGTGCCAGGGATAGGGCTCGTTTACACCGAACTAGCGGGTGGAGTGCCACACATTTTCTCGCACTTCATCACAAATTTACCAGCTATTCATTCAGTAGTTGTGTTCGTTTGTGTGAAGTACCTCCCGGTGTACACAGTTCCAGAAGACGAGCGATTCCTGGTGAAAAGGATCGGGCCAAGGAATTTTCGCATGTTCAGATGTGTAGCAAGGTATGGTTACAAAGACCTTCACAAAAAAGATGACGAGTTTGAGAAAAAACTGTTTGACAGCCTTTTTGTGTTTGTTCGGCTCGAGTCCATGATGGAGGGCTGCTCAGACTCTGATGATTACAGCAGCTTGTATGGAGATGGAGGAGGACAACAAACGCAGCGATCCTCGAAAGATTTCCTTTTGAACAGCAGCAATACAGTGACTATGGACGACAGCATTGTACCCGTGAAGTCTCCTCAGCACGCGAGCAACACAACATCGTCCTCGGGCTACAAGACGACCATCCAAACCGAAATGGACGAGCTCGAGTTCTTGAATAAATGTAGAGATGCTGGGGTGGTGCACATTCTTGGGAACACAGTGATTAGAGCAAGCAGGGAGTCGAGGTTCTATAAGAAAATCGCCATCGATTATATATATGCATTTCTGAGGAAAATATGTAGGGAGAATAGTGTGATTTTTAATGTACCTCATGAGAGCCTGTTGAATGTTGGACAGATTTTCTATGTATAAATTCTTTTGCCCCATCTCATCTGTAACAATTTTTAACTCCATCGATCTTCAACAAATTCATGTCCATCTTATCTTGTGTATATATGTTCAATTCCTCTATCATCATGCCTTAATACCTAAGCCTGTTGGTATATTCTACATGTACATCCAACCACATTATTATATTCTTTTTTTGGTGCTTCAGAAACTGCTCAATATAATGCCACTACTTCTACTTCATGTGTTAGTTGTTTGGCAACACCTTCCGCATCCACCTTGAGAATATATTGAAGATCCCTAGCTTAAACAGTTTGGGGCTATAATCTACATAGTTGTGTCATGTGTGGACCATAAATATAAAGTACATTTTTAATATACTGAATGTATAGTACATTATTTTTTTTGAATGTGTATAGTACATTATTTGATAGTATATATAAATTAATGTATTTTCAGTATTCAAATAATGTACCTTACATACACCAGTAATGTACTTTTAGTATATTAAAAATGTATTTTTTTTTTATTTATGATGCCGTGTTTCATCAAATCGGGATGTAAATATAAATCAAATGTCCAAATACATGGATCACCGGAGCATACCCCTGAATACAAAAAAAAAAAAAAAAAACATAACTAGCCACGAAAAAACTAAAGCCCAACAGTGGCTAACACAAAATAAACTAAGCAAAATTAATTAAAATAAGCTAAGCCTATTAGGTGCACCATGTTGAGTCTCACTTGAACACCATGCACGGTAACCCCCAAAGGGATGCACCGAACCCAAAAACATCCATTCACGCCATGTAGGGGTGTTCAATTGGTTAACCGTTCGGTTAACCGAACCGTTTTAACCGAACCGAATTAACCGAATTTTTTTTTCCTTTAACCGTTAACCGAACCGAAGTTTGCTCTACCGAATTCACCGAACCGAAATTTTTTTCGGTTAATCGGTCGGTTAACCGATTAACCGAACTTTTTAAAGCTAAAATTTAAAATTCTAAAAATAACACCTAAAATAATAAATTCAATTAAAATAAAATACATATTATAATAAATTCATAATAAAATATACAAAAACATTAATAATAAACTCCAAACATCCATAACTTCAAATTAGTATTTATATTTATATTATTATTTATATATATATTAAAAACTTCGGTTAACCGTTCGGTTAATTCGGTTAACCGACCTTTCGAACCGAATTAACCGTTAACCGAAATTTTAAAATTTCTTTAACCATTAACCGAACCGAAAAAGTTCGGTTTGAAAACGGTTAACCGAACTTTGTCGGTTCGGTCGGTTAACCGAAAATTATCCGAAATTTGCACACCCCTAACGCCATGCACGTGTCTAAGCCCATAAAACCATGAAAGCAAAATCAAGGCTACAGAGGACTCGAACCCAGGCCAGAAGTCCCACTGCGCGCCGGCTTTACCACTGCACCATATTCACCTTTAAGAACAAGTGCTCACAATTTATATAAGAATGTGCAGCTGCAAAAACGTCGACATAAGAAAAAGGAGAGCTATTTAAGCCCTCATCTACAGTGGGAGTCGAACCTACGCCATGCGGCTCTAATCAACCTCACATACCATCCAACCACGGAGTCCTTTTGTTACACCAAGTGATAGATAATATAACACCATGGGTCACGGCTCGGGTTAACCAACAACAAGCGGGTCAACCCGGTCTCCATGCACCACGTGAGAATATCTCCCATCATCAGCATCCTTGATTGACTATCAGAAACGCGATTTGCAGCCAAATAATGGGAAGAATCAAAGCATTTAACAAAGATCCCCCAAATATCCGGTACTTACCAAATCATCGACTTTTCCATCCATAGACCAGTGACGGTCAACCACCGGAGCTCCGACACGAACAGACAACCACAGCAGAGCCGGCCACCCATTCTCGCCGGAAAAACGCAAAGTCCACGTGAACATCACCGGACAGTAATTTCCGCCGGAAAACACAAGAACCTGCATCGAAAATCACCAGAAAAACACCATGTCCTTAAAGCAACAAACAGGACCATACCGGAGCCTTTCACCACCATCGCCAACCTCCTAGACACAGACGGAACCACCCCATCACGGCCGGAAAAATCGAGGACCATCGGACAGAAGACCTGGATCACCACGACCATCTCCAACGCAGTCCATACTCCAGACGCCATTACAGGGCACAACCATCCACATACAGAGGTTAAAAAAACAGCGGCAAACACGCCGGACACATCCCATTCGCCGGTCAATCGGACAAGAACCCACAAAAACGAACAGCACAACCATCTCTCTGCCTTGTTCCGACTGACACCATACCCCATCCAGATCAAATCCACCAACCCTTCCCACACCCAAACACGGACGGCAACGCTACAACATGGCCGGAAAAATCATAGACCATTGGACCGAGCCTGGAACATCCAAGCCAACTCCAAGACAGTCCAACTCCAGTCACCAAGTCAGAGCATCAAAATCCACATACCAGGGTCCAGCAAGAGGAGGCGGACTCACCGGGTGTGATACTTGCGCCGGAAGAGGCTCCAGATCGCCGCCGAGAAGGCAGCCGCATACAGAAAATCGCACCGGTACAGAGCACTCCCACCCAGTCGCCGAGAAAAATGGAGAGCCAAAGAATGAATCGTAAGGCCGTCACCAAGCTTCCGATCAGCCGGAGGAGGATACCACCAGAACAAACAACGTCAGAGAACGCACCCCATGAACCACCGTAAATCGGAGCAGGGCGCCTGGAACGAAACCACCGCTAGGAGCAGAAGCCGTCGTTACACCAGTCGCCGGCGGGGTTGGGGTAGTCATCGCCGTCGCAGAAGTTACCGGAAAAATCATAAATCTTCGTCTTCGGAAAAGTCAACAATCAAACAAAATTGTAACGCTGATTCGGCCCTTCATCTTTATCGTAAAATCCAAGAAGAAACAAACAAAACAATATTTGTTCTGGTCGAAAGCTCCAAGGATTAACGACAAAATAACAATGAAATTCCCAAAGCAGTTTTGAAATCGGACAAATCATTTAAATTCAATAAACATTGAACATGCAAACATACGAATTCCAGTGAGACAACGAAAATAAATTCGAAGTTCACCGGAAAAACCATAAATCTATGCCGTGTTTCATGTAATAATGATTGGTATACATGTCCCTCGTCCCCGCCTTTATTGATGATTATCACTACTGCTTCCAAGCCCAAATCTTTTATTAATTGTAGTGTAAATTTTAATGACATGACTCGTGAAATTAATAATCAAACATCATACTGTTTTTTTTTTTTTTTTCTTTCTAATATATAATTAGTTATTTAATAAATACATATTTTGAAGACACATAACATACACACTGAATAACAATATAACTGTTGTCTAATTTGGATTTCCCTTGATCCTTTATGCTTTTCAAGCTAAACAACGTGTGAATAAAAGGATGGTTTGAACTTTTAATACTGATGATCAACAATGCATGATTTATCCTTCCAAGAAAGATTGCATTTATAATGTTTTGAATGTTAAAGTGTGAAATAATAGAAGGGATGTATACTATTTATACAAGCATTAATTTAATGGGCTCATTTCAACAAGGAAAGCCTAGGGTTTCAACACTTTCTCTCAAGTTGGAGAGTATAAATTATATGATCCAAACTTGTTACAAATATACCCAACTCTAGGAGTTTTAAGAGACTTAGTCCGAATATCAGCTAACTGATCTGCAGAATTGACAAAGCTGGTTTTAATACACCCTAACACAATCTTCTTCCTAATGAAGTGGCAATCAACATCGATGAGTTTGGTCCTCTCATGATAAATTGGATTTGAGGCGATGTGTAGAGCTTCTTGGTTGTCACATATCAGTGTCCACATTTGAGCAACATCACCACACTGCAACTCTTGAAGTAAGTGCTTCAACGACATGACTTCACGCGTGTGGCGAGAACCATAGCCCGGTACTCAGCTTCAACACTAGACGGACAACCGAACCAATCTGATCAGAATACCCAACAACTTGAGCATGTCTTCTATCTTCATATAGTAAACTTCACCCGGGTGCTTTCTTGATATACCTTAGAACCTGAACAACAACATCCCAGTGAGTATCATAAGGGTTCTCAAGAAACTAATTTAATACACAAACTGCGAAAGAGATATATGGTCGTGCAATTGTGTGGTAGTTCAATTTTTCAATTAATATCCTGTATCGTTCCCGGTCAGGCTATCCCCCTGCCTTGGTAGAAGTTTAACATTCGGATCCATTGGATTATCCATAGGTGTACAATCTAACATACAAGTTTCTTCTATAACAATCCAAGACATATTTTCTTTAAGAAATGACTATACAATTGCTAGATTGGGCCACTTCAATTCCGAGAAAATATTTTAGCTTGCCTAAATCCTTGGCCTAGAATCGACTGAAGAGATACTCTTTCAATGAGATATACCGTATAATGCTTGGGAGATAAAGGCTAAAAGAAGATATGCTGATTACATAAGCAGAATAAGAAAAAAGCCAAGACCTTCCGGCCTATGTCCCACCAGAAATATGGATAAAGTGGAATGATGTTTGAAATTCTGAGGAGGGCAAGAAGAAAACAGAATTGGCTAAGAAAAATAGGCGTGGAGGAGTTTTAACTAGAGTTGCTCAATCTACCCATACCATAGGATCAACACCTCACGTAAAAGTCGCAGCTCAACTTGTAAGTTCATTTGAATTGTTTAAGTTATAAGTATTATGTGTTTTGTATTATGTGGAAAGAAGATATGGACATAACACAAGGTTGCCACAAGGTTGATCCCACTTTCGAAATGAGACCTTGAACTTGAAGGATTTGATAATGAGGATTGATTGAACTCAGGAGTAGAAACTACAGATCGCACTACAAAAAAACGCGAAAATAGTGATGGATTTAGCGACGGAATCATTCTGTTGCTAATTTAGTGACGGAATAGCGACAACTTAGCACAGATTTTCATTTTTTTACTAAATAGACATTTAGCGACGGATTTGCGATCGATTTTGCGACGGAATATTTCCGTCGTTAAATACGTAGCTAATTTTAGCGGTAAATTTTTGCGCAAAAATTAGAGACAAATTAGCGACGGATTTGAGACAAAATTTTCGCGGGCTAATTTCATAATTTTAATTGCTACAAATTAGTGACGGATATATTAATCCGTCGCTATATTTTCAAGTTTGATTTGATTGTGTTTATATTTTAGCAACAGATTTTTAAATCCGTCGCTACATTATATAGCAAGATTTTTTTTTAAACACTCTAGCAACGGATTATCTATTCCATCGCTAAGTTTGCAAACCGAATTTTTAATATTTTAACGACGGATTCTTAAATCCGTCACTAAACTTATGAAGCTTGTTTTTTTAAACACTATAGCGACAGATTTGAGCATCCGTCGCCATATTTACAAACGAGATTTCTTAATAATGTAATCAGAATATTTAACTCTAACGACGGGTCCTAAAATCCGTCGTTAAGGTAGACAAATTAAAGGGAAAATCGCACTTTTGGTCCCTCAATTGTTCCCAGATATGCAATGTAGTCCCTCATTGTCAATTTTGCAAAATTAGTCCCTCAATTGTTTCAATTGTAGCCAATGTACTCCTCCGGTCAAATTTTTCACTAACTAGTGTTAAAACTATGGACAATTTTGTAATTTCGCAACCCATCACTTTTACCCCTAATTTCTTCCTTCACCCGAATTGACCTATGCTAAGTGAACGAGTGCTTCCGGCACATATCCAAGCACTCTCCCAGCTGGAAAGCTCATGTGTCGCCGGCGAACCACTGGGATCCATAGACCCAGAACCACCTACCAGGAAATCACCGCTGGAAGTGGAAAGCAAAGTAAGAACAAATCAAGAATGGTTAGGAGGAAAATTGTGTCGGTGGGCATGGAGAAAACATGGCCGGGGATATCCAAACGAGTAATTTGTGTGGACTGGGAAGGGGGCTGTAGTAGGGTCTGGAAAATTAATTCTGTTTTCTAGGAAATCTCAGGAGGGAAGCATCATTTTATTTTTGTTACAATTAAAGTGATGATGAGTGAGGCTTGGCTGTTTTGAGGTAGAAGCATGGTATAAATCTGCAGGCTGGTCTGTTTCTGGAACCTTGCAGTTTGAATGCTGGAGTTTGGTTTGCGTCTGGATGGAGAAATGAAGCTTCTGGAATGGTGTTTTTGGCTTATGATGGCCGAAGGAAATCTAGAGTATGTTGGGCATTATTTTGGGTTGATCCCACTTTGGGAAATGAAGCCTGGGCAGTAGTAGCTCCAAACTATTTTCAGGGAGGGGCTGCTACTGCTTGAATGTGTTCCAGAAAAAAGGAGGGGGGGTCCATGTAGCTTGGTGGACTAATGGCTACTGAATTTGAGTTCTGGTTGTTCTGGTCCAGTACCTGCGTATGTATTATGATAATCAGGTATTTGTTTTCAATGCACCGAAAACAATCAGCAAAAACCATATAAAGGAGTGTTACATATCAGGAGGAGAAGTGGTAAGCAGATATACCCAAGTTGACATGATATCATCGTCAACTTTGACATAAAACTCAGCATCCCATTTTGCAACAGCAGTGGAGAAGAAACATTTTCTCTTTGCAAGCAACTCATGATACCCTTCTATGTGGTTCTACAAAATGTCGTCATCAATGAGAAGGAGCTTGAGTACAAACACAGATCAAGTTTTGGATTTTACTTACAAGTCTGAGAATGTTCGTTGTGTTGAGCATCTTTCATGTCAATTGCGCTATCTAAAATGCTATTGGAGAACTGCAAAACAACACGAAAATTGCTTTAGCTTGAGACCACCATCTTGACGACCACACAACAATACATATCACAGACAAACCAATATGACCGGAAAAGAGCATGGATCATCATAGAGTAATGCTGGACCCTGAGGCCACCATTCACCATCCCCAACTACGTCCTAACTCCAGACGCCATTTGGATTCAAGCAGTCCAAAAGGGGGAGTCAATAGGCACGCCAGAGGTAATCCATTCGCTAGAGAGTCAATTTAACACCAGAAAATCTCACACAAAAAACCAACAGCAAAAGAACACCACCAACATGAAAAAATGGACGTAAAAACGTCCAACCTTCATGACAACCAAAGAAGTTTCAGGAAATCTTTACCACCAGTCAGCACTCAGCAATAGCCTGACCGGAGGTGTAAAACAGGGGAGCGAAATCTTCGAAAACAGTCAAGAAATCTTCCATCGGCCGGAGCCGGATTTGGTGGCCGCCGGAGCAAACATCAACAGATAACGGATTAAAATCATTCGTAGACATCAGTCTTCTTGTTCGGTGGAGACGCCATCGTGCCGGAGGTGAGCCCTTCTCGTTGGCCGGTGACACATGAGCTTTCTGGCTGAGAGAGTGCCGTGAAGTACTAGGTCTACTTTGCGTAGGTCAATTCAGAAGAAAGAAGAAATTAGGGGTAAAAGTGATGGGTTGCGAAATTACAAAATTGTCCATAGTTTTAACACTAGTTAGTGAAAAATCTGACCGGAGGATTACATTGGCTACAATTGAAACAATTGAGGGACTAATTTTGCAAAATTGACAATGAGGGACTATATTGCATATCTGGGAACAATTGAGGAACCAAAAGTGCGATTTTCCCCAAATTAAATGATGAAGCAATTATAAACGCTGCCCTAACCCTAAACAGATTCAATCTTAAAATCATCTCAGTAGTCTCGGACCGCCCACTGCTGCGGTGCTATTTTCCTCCGCCCACTGTCGTCAGCTCTGCCTCCACCGCCCACCGTCGTTTCCTCTGACGCATCTCTCTGCCGGTATGTATTTGTTTCTTTTACTGCTAGAGTCCCCGTCCTTTACCCGCGTTTCTTTTGCTGGTATGTATTTGTTGTTCACTCTAGGCTTCGATCATCGCACAAGTAGGTCACTGTACATGAATTTGATTCGTATCTAATATCAATATCCATATATATTTTAATTTTGTGGGTTGATGTAAAATTATTTACAGTGTTTTGGAGGCGGTAGATTCAATTAGTGACTAACCCCAATTGCTTAGATATCTGCACAGAACTTGATTTGCTTAGATTGCTTAGGCGGTAGTTCCTTTTTGACAAAACTATGAAATGTGTGTTTTGGCGACTTAGATAACCACATGAACTGTATGAGTGGTTTTTCAAGAAATTCAGATTTGGGGGAATAAAGTGAGTGATTTTTCATGATGATTTGGGGGATAAATATTGTAATCATTTATGCGTTATTCAATTATGTATATAATGGTATACATTAAAAATGATGCTGTTTTTCAACTAAATACCTAAATTAAGATCGAATAAGGCTATTATTCTTATATATATTTATGAGTCATTATATTATAGACTAAAGTTAAAAAAGATTCAAAACTTTACGTGTTCTATAATATGATGTTATTATTTTTTTATGATTGATTAACAATATGATGTAGATTGGATTTATATTTGTTTCTATTTCTTATTCCCTAGAGACATATGATAAGAAAATTCTTTAAACAATAATATTAATCTCATGTATATCTGTTATCCTTGTTTTATGTAATCAACTTATAAAAAGTTTTGTTTGAAAATTGAAAGTCAATGTTATGTAGTTGAAATGACATAAAATATCTACAACTTTATTGAATTTTTTTTGGATATATGTAAAATATAGGTTTATCTGTCAATATTTATAAGTTCCAACCTTGCATTTACAGAATGTACGTAGTGAGATGATGACCTTGCACTTGGTCTTTATCTTTAATTATCTGATTATCTTTATCTGATATTATTAAACCTACAAACCTGGCAGTGATCTCAATTAGATGTAGTCTATAATTTATAGTTGATGTTTTTCTCTTTTAACATGCACTTCTAGTTGCTGCTGCTTGTTAAAATGAAATAAAATTAATGCCATCATGTTTAGCTGTTTGTTGTGTTCTCACTTTGCAGAAACAAATATCATACCCTTTGTGTTTCCTAAAAAGATGCTGAATAAATGAGAACTGATATCTTGTCCCCATAGATTATTTTTACTTATCACTCAATAGTAACACATTTGATATAATAGTTGGAGGAACTTGGTGACATGGCAAAGTAAAAAGCAAGAGGTGGTAGATTGCAGCAGTGCAGCTCAACTACAGGCTCAAATGCAGGCTCAACTACAAACTGAAATAACTCAAATGCATGCTCAAATGCAAGCTCAGATTACAAGTGTGATGGATGAGTTGTGTTGAAACGGTATGCTATCAACTTCTATGCCACGACGTCCAACTACTCAAGCTGAACATTATGCTAATTCAAATGCTAAAAATATAGGAGACGATTAGATTATATTTATTAATATTTTTTGGTACTATTTCTAACAATGTAATATTGCACAGTGCTACACTTTTGTTATTGATATTGAGTTTGAATGTTTTAATATAATATATTTTATAATTATATTATTGAAGTACTATATTATAGGTTTAATGTAGGTATGTGATATTAATTAGCGGGTAGTTTTTTTTAAAAAAATTTGTAAATTTTTAAATTTTAACATACAACAGATAAATATTGTAAGTGAATATTAAACCCGCTAATTTGCAAGCGAATAATGACGAACGATAGTGACGTATAGTCACGAAATTTGCAAGCAAATAGCGACGGACGATAGCTACGAAAAATTATGATGCTATATTTAGCGACGGAAAAGTCCGTCGCTATTCGCTTGCAAATTTCGTCACCAGATCGTCGTGGTAGAAAATTAACGACGGATTTTTTGTTGGTTTAGCGATGGAATTTCCGTCGCTAGATTTAGCGACGGAATATTCCGTTGTTATTCTCTCGCAAATTATGTCATTAAATCGTCGCCGAGAGAAAAATAGCGACGGATTGTATTGATTTAGCGTCGGAAATTTCCGTCGCTAAAGTTAGCTAGGAAATAAATTGCGTCGCAAAGCTCTAGCGACGCGACTTTTAGCTACGGACCGTTTCCGTCGCTAATCCGTCGCTAAAGTGATTAGCGACGGATTTTTCCCTATTTAGCGATGGAATCTGTCCGTCGCTATTTTCGTGTTTTTTTGTTGTGAGAGTTAATTTGGGAAGCAGTAGCGTAAATCTTTTAAAGAGAATGGTTGTTGCTGCCTTGTGACTGATTCTACAATGGAAGAGGATGTTACATGAGTTTAGTCTGGATTCTGGGTAGAATGAACAACTGGAGTTTACTTGACCCCAACTTTTATGTTTTCTGTCGATTGTGATTGTGTTTTATTGTGTTTATTGATTGATGTTGAAGATTATAATTGAATTGTATTATATTGAACAGGGAGATAGTCTTATATACAAAGGAAACTCTATCGATTTTTTGTCTTACTTTTATAATTGCTTTTGTTTGTTAAATATAATTTGTAGGAAGGACAATTGGGTTATTGTCCATCGTATTATGAACTGTTCAGGCATACACATACCAAACAACACGATGAGCAAACATTCATAGCTGAAAAAGCCAAACAAATTCATGTAAGTTTAATTTGTTTTAAGTTTTAAAATATATATACCTTTACATATATTTTGTACTAAATCTCTTACATATTTTAGGAACAAGTTGAATCGCAACGGGAGATGTTGGCAGAAAATGGGGAGCAGGTGGATGACAATCAATTATACTATGACGCGGTTGGTGGACACGATAAGAAAAGAAGAGTTTATGGACTTGGTTCATATGGTTGTTCTGTTGTTCATGGTCTAACTAATGATAACACTTCTGGCAATATGACATCAATATCGCGACCACTCGACAATGCTACTTCTACTTCTGCAAATGTACAACATGAAATTCAGAGTTTGAAGGAAACTATTCTCCTTATGCAACAACGACTTGATGCTATTGATGGCAGGAGAGCGGGTACTTCATCATCACCTCCATCTTAAATCAATTCATTTTAATGGATGTTTGTTAATGTTGTTTAGACTTGAATTGACTATTATTATGTATTAAGTGTGGATTGATAATGTATTATTATGTTGTTGACTATTATTATGTATTAAGTGTAGATTGATAATGTATTATTATGTTGTTTAGAGTTGAATTGACGATTATATTATGTATGAAATGTGGATTGGTAATGTATTATTATTTTAACTTAATTTACAATTATGTTATCTTTTATTTTAAAAACATTCATTACTATTTAAAATCACAATTTTATTTTAAAATAATTCAAAAACGCGACGAAATACAAGATTTGCGATGGAATATTTGTTGCAAATGATGCGACGGAATTACGACGGAAAACATTTCTGTTGCGAAATGGGCGACGGAATTGTCGACCGAAAAGATAATATGGCGACGGAATATTCGGTTCAGAAATAACGACGGATTTGCGACGGAAACAGTTCCGTTGCGAAATAGGCGACGGAATACTTCCGTCGCCAAATGGTGATAGAAATAATCCGTCGCCAAACGTTGTGACGGAATTATTCCGTCGTCTATCAAAATACGACAAGGTGATAGACGAAGGAATAAATTCCGTCGTCATTCCGTCGTGAAACGTGATTCGCGACGAAATATGATCTCTATAGAGCTGTACAGAGATTTACAATTTGTACAAGTACTAACCAATCATTAATTCATTATTGCGTGGACCACGGTCCAAAAATGACATCGTTTCCTCATTAGAGGATACGGCGCCGTTAGGTCGCGTACTTTTATTTATTTTTTCTCACGCGATCTGCATTTTTCTCTTCACTACTTGTTATAATAATGTCGTCCACATACACTACAAGGTATATGCATTTCCCACTATTAGAATGGTGATAAAATACAGAATGATCAACTTCACTTTGAATCATACCAAACTCACATACCACATAGCTAAATCTCCCATTCCAAGCCCGTAGAAACTACTTTAATCTATATAAGGAGCGATG